TCTATCCCTAATCATATATCACATATATATATATATGACTTAGGGTTAATTAATCCTTCAATTTTGTAAATCATATTTAATTTAAAATTATTTTAAATTAAATGACAATATAATTATTATTTATCTAAAACACTTTTAAATAAATAATAATACGAAAAATTCTTATATGATAAGAAAATAAAATTTATCCAAATACTAATATTATTTAACTATACTATTTATTTAATATTATTTCTAAATCAAATGAAGAAAAATAATAAAAAAATAGTCTATCGAAAGAACATGAATTTAACTTATTTAAATTTAAATAATTAATAATATCTTATAATATATTTAAAATAATCCCATTATCTTAAATTGTCATTTATAGTAATAACCACTACCATTCTTATCCATTCTAAGTAGGCGACCTTATAATTCATTTAATGTTGGCAGTAGATAAAATCACATTTGATCATACAAGTCATGAGTGACCTCTAGCAAGACATTATGACTAGCCAAATTAAATGAAAAGCTCATGACCCGAGATAACCTTAATACAACTTATGTCATAATCCTTTTATTTATGCACGATATCTTAATAGAATATAAAACATGGAAGATGTCAACCTTATATCGCTATATCTTCAATTTCTCGATATCCAATTGAATTGATTAAATAAATGATGTTGACGTATATTAACTCATTTAAGCATGAGCATACATCTTTTATTCTTAATCATTGAGGGGCCTTGAGATATATCTCTTATGATAAGAGGGATAAATTCCATCTTAATAACTCACATCTCACTACATGTTTCGTGTCATGTTCAATAATAACCTTTATAATTGTCAGATGAATCATAACCTTTATAATTTTCCGATTAAAGACAACATTTGATTATTTCAAAACATAATAAACGTCATGTTGAGAACTGCAATAATTTCAGGTTTAAGGATTTTATGACATAACTGTTTTGAAATTAATATAAAACTTAATCCATGTATTAATCTCAAAACGAGTCGATCCAATATTTGTTCTCAACAAAAACATATGAATTTGGTTTGAATCTCATTCATATATTCTTCTCATGAATATCTATCAAATTTCATATCAATCTTATTTTATTATTGTTCCTACAATAATAATTAATGAGAGATATTTAGAATAATTAACAATATTATTCAAGGATAAAATTGCACACAAATGATTATAATAAAATCTAATAATTAAACACCTTTCCAATTTACTTCGTCGAGTCTTGAGGCATTTGCGTCCAATTGGCAACTAAAGTGCATTGGCACTGACTAGGATATATCTGAACCGTACGATCATTATCTGCTATAGTAACTTAGGTTTCCTAACAGTTTCCTGAGCATCAAACAATGCTAGTTTTATGCCATCCTTGTTGTTATTGTTTCTAGTTGTTCTAAGTTTATTACTTTTATCATTTGTAGTTTTATTTCATGGCTTTCTGGTTTTATTAGGTCCCTTAAATCTATCCCTTAAAACTTTTGGGTTTCTTACCCAAAACTATTCACGGGTACCGACACTAAACCCCTCATAATTGAATTAAAAGAGGTAATATTGATACTCTAACTTGAGTATTAATACTTCTGGACTGTGGTATCGATACTATCCTGAGTAACGATACCAAATTTTGCTTCGATGTTTTGAAAAATGTCTTAGTATCGATACCCCTATTGAGAGTATCGATACTCTTCCTCATGTATCGGTACTCCTATGAGTACTAATACGAAAATTAGCTATTAGAATCTACTAAGTGTACTCGTTATTGATACTACCCAACGACTATCCAAACCAGACCAACAATCTCGATACTCTATGGGTCAATATCGATAATTCATTCCTAAAACGCCTTATTTTAGCTAGCTGATAAACAATATCAGCATTCTGCTTCCAATACCGATACTCAAACACAAAAATGTCATGTTCTAGGCACGGATACACCTCTCTAACACTCCCATGAGTCATACTGAGGTTCCCAAATATTATTAGAGTTTTATTTATAGAAGTAGGCGTCATAATAGGTCCATAAACAAGATGAAAAACACCAATTACTGAATCTACCATGAACATTCTTCATAACTCATGCAACCTAAAAAAACACACCTAGTGATCAACATGTGGTAAAGTTGAGTTAGAAGTGATTACCTTGAATTTCTAAGCTGCTGGAAGTGTCCAAGGCTCAACCAAGGGTCACTTTTTCTTTCTCTTTGTTCTTAGAGCTTTTTCCAACTTCTACCACTAGATAAAGATCAAAGAATGAGTTACTAACTTGCTTAAGAGGTTAGGAAGAGATTAAGAACGATTTCCTAATGCTTGAACTCCCTGAAAATGGATTAAAACACTTGAGTCTCTTAAACCCACACAAAACCCATATTTGACTACTAAGGTGAAATAGAGAGGTTGAGGGCTCGATATGAAGCTCTAAAGATAAAGGTTATGAATCCTACCTTTAGGATTCCAAATTAAGGTTGTAAGGGCACCAAGTTATAACCTTTGTGCCACTCAACAAAAATGAGAAGGAAAAGAAAGAATGAGGTAGAAGACAAATTAAGATGAGGAAAAAGAAAAGGTAGCCCATATGTGAGATCATCCCACATTAATGAGATTCATCATTTCAAAATACAAATGGGTAAATATCTTTTTTGGTCCTTACTATTTTAGTTACAAATTAAAAACACCCTTTAACCCATATTAAGCTCAAACCAAGCCCATATCCACTCAAACTTGGGTCATGGTTTTCCTAAAATATAATGTGTTTGTTCAAACTCTCTCTCATGTTAACTCGAACTTCTAACCCGAGATTTGGGGTGTTACAACTGTCTCATCTTATTTAGAAATTTCATCCCTGAAATTTACCTGGGTAAAAGAGGTAAGGGTATGAAGCTTTATATCCTCATCGATTTCCCAAGTTGTCTCCTCAACATCATGATTCCTCCACAACACCTTTACTAGATGAATTCTTTTGTTCCTTAGCTCCTTTACATCTATCGCTAAGATTCTGATCGACTCTTCCTCCTAGGTCATGTCTAGGCTCACCTCGATTTGCTCTAGGGGTATGACATAAGATGGATCAGAACAATACCTCCTAAGCATGGATACACACATTATGGATGTGTTCTAGCTTTGATGGTAAGGCTAACCGATAAGCCGCTAGTCCAACTCTCTCTAGTACCTCGTGAAGTCCTATGGAGTGTGGGGTCAACTTTCCCTTACGTCCAAAAAGAAACACTTTCTTCCATGAAAAAACCTTGAGGAACACCTTGGACCCCCAATGCAAACTCAATATCCTTACGCTTCATATATGCGTAAGATTTGCCTATCTGAGGCTTCTCTCAATTGGCTTTGAATTAATCGAACCTTTTCTTTGGTTTCTTTGATCAAGTTAGGATCCACTATTTTACCATCGCTGAGCTCTGTCCAACAAAGTGGAGTTCTACACTTGTGTCCATACAAGGCCTCATACGGAGCCATCTAGATGCTCGATTGAAAACTGTTATTGTATGCAAACTCCATTAATGGAATATGGTCCTCCAAACTACCCTCAAGACCTACAACGGTGTACCTAAGCATGTCTTCTGAGATCTGGATGACACTTTCTGACTGGTGTCATAACCTAATTTGTCTGAGCCAGTCGAATCGGATTGGCGACATTCAGAAGCGGCAAATTTTAATTGTTTTCAAACGCAATAAAATTAACAGCAACTGAGAAGAACTTTAACGCAAAGTGAATGTAACAACATTCATCACAAAGAGAAAATCTTATCGCATAATTTTATTCAAAATTTTAGTCCCTAAATTATAAACCTTAAAATCAATTGATTCCCAATGATTCAACATGACATGCGATCATACCACTTGTTAGAATCAAACCATAATAAATATGAAAACTAACCATGATCTAATCATTCTAAATCATCAAGAATAATAATACTAGATGTAGAAGCGTACCTAAATTAATTGATAGGTTGAAATCCTTGAATCTTTCTTCGGTTGTGATCTTCCAAGAAGATAAAGTTCTCTTGAGTATTAACTCTTTGACGGAATAAGAGAAAATACAATATTATCTATTTCTTTGGACCATAACCCCTTTATATATCTGATTTAGGAATCAAGTATTGTTTGTACTTATAACTTTGTCCCTCATCAAATTATAAATACAACTTTAATATTATCTACATTTTTATTTCCATGACACTTATAATACCTTATGACTTGATAACGTAATTGGTCACTTAATTTATATCATATTTTATGATAACAATATAAATTATAAATATGTGTCCATAATTATGAATTTTAATCCAACATCATTTAGCTGATAATTAAGCACATGAGTCACTACGTGACAGCGGTACACAAAGTGCAATACATAAAAGTGATACACAAAATGTGACTCGTGACAAAGACATTTGAAATGAAAAAAAAAACATATAAAGTGTAATACACTAATTATATACGAAGTATAATTAGTACTAAAAACACATAAGATTTCTTGTCATATCGATTATAACAAAGAATTAAAACGTAACATATTACGAAGATACAAAGTACAATTTATAATGGAATTGTGTAAAACATATAAGATAAATAGCATGCCAACCATTTATCTTAATATTTTAACATATAACTATTTTTCATAAGGTCTTGTAATGTTTGCCGTATTAGCTCACTAAGTTAAAATATGCATATTATAGATCTCATATACATGCTCATATTCACATAACATTTTAACATCATCTCATCTACATTTTCGTTCCTAATTTTACTTAATTTCTTAGGTCAAATTAGTCAAAACAACATTGATATTAATTATTTTGTCGAAATATATTAAATCTGTCTGGGTAGGGTAGCTGGTTATCATGTTAGCCTCACAGTCTAAAGGTTCCCGATTCAAACCCGAGCACAGACGCTACAATTTCCAAATATTAGGTAGAATTAAACTTAAATAATATATAAATAAAATAAATCATTACCAACGAAGTGTTCAATTGTCTGAGTGGTGTAGTTGGTTATCACGTTAGCCTCACACGCTAAAGGTCCCCGGTTCAAACCCGGGCTCAGACAATTTTTCTAAAATGGTACTTATATTATATGTTTTTGGTGGATTCAGTCCTACTATACGTATTTTTTTAGATTTACAATTGTTATTACAAAGACACTCGCATATAATATGTCCAAATAACTATAATTACAACTAAATCGATATAAAACAGAATTCAAATAAGAAAAACATATCAAAATAAACTCATACATAATACTCCATTAGAATTTAAACTTAAAATCCAGATGATAATTAGTCATGGTGGAACTCAAATGCTTAAAGATGCATGACTTCAACTTTGGCAACACAACTAATATCTTATTGACTAACTGAAACCAACAGAAACAAACTAGGAATGGCAGAACGATCCGAACCCAACGGGGAATCCGAAACCCGACTAAGTTCGGGTCGGGTATCGGGGTAAAATTTGGGGATTTTTTTGGTTTGGGGCAAGGTATCCCCGCTCTGCCCCGATTATATATATATATAATACTTTATATTTTTTATATTAATTATATATATATAATATATAATATTTTATATTTTTTATATTAATTATATAATACAAACCCTAAACCCTAGCTTTTATAATTATTAAAGTGAAATTTTATTGATTTATTGATAAATTTCTCAATGTAGGGAGCTACCAAAGAAAGTGACAAAAGTGGCACGACGATTTTGGATGACTTTATTTGACTTAATATTACGTATGCATCTTCGTTGTATGATTTGAATATCGAAACAAGTTTGTATTTAATTAAGCATGTGTTTTATTTTGGAGTTTAGACAATTATTTAGAATTGGGTTTGAATTTGTGATTATAGTTTGAATTATAAATCATGTAGACTAATTTTTCAGTTTTTTGTGATCGTTTTTTCTATTTTTTATGAAAACTAAGGTTGCTCGGTTTTTCTCAGGATCGGGTCGGGTTCGGGGATGGGGCAAAAAAAAATTCCTGACGGGGCGCCCCGATAAAAAACCCAACGGGGAACGGGACTGGGAGAGAGATTCATTTTAGGGACGGAAGAGCAAAACCCACTCCAAACCCGTCCCGTTACCATTCCTAAAACAAACTTGGAAGAAGAGCAGTCAGCAAGGTCATGAGCGACTTGTATTTGCAAAACGTTGGACATAGGACACCCAAACATGAGGAGAAGCATCTAAGAGTCGCCGCGTCTCAACATGGTGAAGCAGTTGAACTAAATTGAAGGTATCACTTTCAACAAATGACCTGTGGTAACTGAAGATCAATCGCAAGACGAATAGTATGATCCCAAAATCAGACACTATCCGCATGTTCATCACGGATCACAACACCAATTGCAGCAGCACAGTTGCACAGCGGACAAGCACCACCCACGTTGATTTTGAGGACTCCAGATGGAGATTTAAGCCAGCATAAGACCACGGTATAATGATTTAGTTAACTCTAAACTCTTTCAAATTAAAAATTTACATCCAAACTAGGGCATCTACATACTGATTACTTGTGTGGGTGTGGTATCTCATTGAATGCATCAAATTGCCCATAAAAATCAACAAATATTAAATAATTGTACATTATTCAAACATTCAACCTCCAAAATCTACAATGGTTACCTTATAAAAATGATTTCAAAGAAGAAAACAACAAATGGTTACCTTAGTAGAACAGCAACTTCATTCAAGCACAGAAAGGGATTGTAAAATGTCGAAAGGAAAATATATATAATGATTCTACATAGCTATAATATGACTATCAACGTGAACAAAGATTAACCACGAAAAAAAAAAAGGATCACACGCAAAACAACGATAGCCTTTTCCACACAAACATCCTGAACTAGCATTCTCCATTATGTTTGCTTCCTGTCATCTTCAACTCCGTTGTGCTTTAGTGCTTTCAATTTTCTGTAGCCTTTATCGGTACCAAATATCCTGTCAGAATTTACAAAATTTAAAGCACACATCGACAGGTACATGATGAATCCTAACAAGGCTTGAATAAAACATGAAAAGCAATCTAGATAGTTATAAAATAAACGTAAGCAGGCAGACAATTCTTCTAAGCCTAAAGAAGTCCGCACTGACATACTCCTGATGATGCATTAGATGCTATAAAGCTGGAATAAAGTTTAAATGGCATAAAGAAGTTCCTAGTGACGGAGTGCCATGTGTATCTAAACCGTCCAGTCATTTTAACAGATGATAGAAAATTATATTTGGAAGGATGAGTGTTAGCGAGGGCGTTGGGAGACCGACATTTATCATATCCCTCTACACATGATTGTGTATGCATGACACATGGCATCGGGCAAAGGTACTTCAAGAAAAAAAAGAAGAATCAGAACAAAATAAGCTTTTAATGTGTCAACATGTCTAAGAAAAACAGACTAGATGACAACAGCATATATGATCCATAAAAAATTCACCTACTTCTATAATCAGACAAATATAGTGGCAGTTGCCATAACCTACTATCTGACATTGGGAAACATGCTAATGATTCGAAAAAGCAAATCCAAAAACTCACCAATCCATGTAAACGAACGTGGATGAGTAGTTGCCAGATTTTGTATAAAGCAAACGGTGGTGGTAGTCGTGAAAATCAGAACTGGAAAAATGATAATACGAACAATTACTTCACAGCTGATGAGTAAAAGATAAAACAATAGAACTGTGTACACTCATGAAGTAAAAGCAATAAGCGAACATAAAACTCACCCCCCATATAAAGGTAGAAAGTTCGAGAGACTCCATGGAAAATGATGACCGCAATGTGCCTCAACTGTCTCGAGGACTCTAAGAACCATCCACAACCAGAGAGTAATCAGATGTGGGCCAGTTATGGCCGGGCCAACAATTGTGGCAAAGCCAAGGAACAATATCTCGGCAGGGTGAGCATATTCTGATGTCAGTCCAAATGGTGTAGCATATCTGTATAGTTTATATAACTATCCAATTAGTACATGCAGAAGAACATACCATGAATAACATTGCTCGTAGTTTTTACTAGTACAACCACCTAATATTTGGACTTACTCATGATGGACGCTGTGTACATGCTTGTACAGCCATTTTGTATGTAAAACACGATGTCCCCAGTAAAACACAAAATCCTCCAGGACGAAGTAGAATATTATCTGAGTTAGGATCACTTTCCTGTGGAACCAAATAACAATGTAACCAATTAGACCCAAAACCGATATTTTCATTTACATGGGCAAATTTATGGAGTTTACATTCCGAATAGGTAATATAATTCAAGGCTACTATGTTCGAATGAGGTACAAATCGAGGAAAATAAAAGCACTAGCATATAAAGAACCTGAAAATACCAGGATGGCAATGGTAGACTACTTCTCATTCCCATGAATCTGAAGACAGGATATGAGATAATCATAAGAGGCAGGTTGACGCTACAATGATAAAAAAGCAGGCGTGTGATACATTTTTCCTGAGCAGTAGGGCTATTGTTTTTTGTATGCATAGAAACATGAATTACAAGCGAACTAATTTATTATGAATTAGACAAAAACAAAGTATACTTTTTCATCATGAACAACCCGATTTTTATGCTAGAAAAGTCATAACCATCAACAAAAATGGCAGCAAAGAAGATGGAGTGAACCTGAATCTTGTATTTGCTTAGCAACCCAGCTCTTTCAAGATATATAAATGGAAGTCCGGATAAGAAAAAAACACTTTCATGAAGAAGGAAACTTCCCAAACTAGCTAGTTGGAAGTCACTGAAATGTGTGATCAGATACTGTATGGTAAACAAAACAACATTTTGAGGGCCAATATCTTATATCACATGACATGAAAAACACTTTTGAATGTAATATGAGCATGATATTTCTCAAACTACGCATCAAGAGGTGAAATCAGTATGAAAACTTAGATAACTTTCCGCTTACTCAGTTGAAAAAAAGAAATCAAAGATTCATTGAAGATACTCTGATGCAGGCTAATCCAATGAATAAGCACAAGTAGACAAATTCAATCAAAGATCCACTAAAGATCCTTTGTTGTGAATGAATGAAACCAATAAGAACAAGCAGACAAATTTGCTTTTATAGTGAATAAAGAAAAATGAAAATGGTTAAAAAATTAGGATCTAAATAATCACTCGGAAGAAACACATATTCAACATTGAAAAACAAGGTCCTCTAGCCTGGATTACATTTCCAGATACTTATCAATGGCATTAAGACAATTTAACACAGACATAAATATATTTATACATGACAAAAAACTGGGGTGAATCAGTGACTAGGATTCAAAACCCAAATCAATGTCAATTCTGCAGCTATCATCAGCAAGTTATGTAAACCCAGACAGTAATGTTCAAAACAAAGATACAAATATACATATGTATGTATATCATACATACGTATGTACGAAGGCAATATGTATGTGTTTGTATTCAAACAATTGTTGTAAACATCAACTTCCACCACCTACCGTCTAGAATGAACCGTGAATGTCACAATCCAAAAACAGCCAAAAGAAAATAAATAAATAAAATCTAAAAACTTTCAAATCAAACATAATCAACTAGCTTTTCTTATCCCAAAAAGCATACAAACCAAACAAAGACAGATCCAAAACAAGCGATGGGCGAAAGTATGAAGACATAACCAAAGAGAAAGGAATGTTACCAGCCAGCCAGATTCAATGATGGAAGCCATGAGGGAGAGCTTGGAAGTGAGAGGAAATACTGTTAATCCGAAATGGGGTTTTTAAGAAACGAAAAATTGAAATCTTTGTGAGACAGAGAGGGGGAGATATAGAAAGAGGGACAAGAAAGGAGACAGATAGTGAATCTAGATAGTAGTACCGACTACAGACTGTCAAATGGAATCTGGGCTTTCTCTATTGGCTTTTTTTTTTAATAGTCGATTTAATTCAATGTCCTAAAAGGTACAATTAATTAATCTCTAAATATGAAGCCTAAATTTAATCATCGTAAGCACCAACCAAATTATCTTAAGTGATCAAAGGAATTATTTTTTTTAAAAAGTCTCAAATTCAAGCATAA